TCAATTCTAACACAAAATATAGAAAAAATACGAATAATTTAGCAACGAGTTCGCGGATCACTGGTTGTGAAGCGCTGCCGTACTTATGTGCTATTTAGACTCTTCCGTTATGACGTTAGCCCGTTATGAAATCATAGACTTAGGCCTTTCAGGGTTCAAAATGGGCGGAGGACTTCTTACCAAGTTTAGTTGTTAGACCAATATCGGTACTACGATCCAAAAAGAATAAAAAAAATCACAAAACTAATAGACATGCCACCAATACTTTGTATTTTGCAATTTACTCATAATATATTGATATGGAATATATTTGGCGGACCGGCAGCAAGGTTGTTGCGGACCGCCACCGTCCGCGGACCGGCGGTTGAGAACCACTGCTTACCTGATTGTATCGGATTCGTTAGATATGGTCAAAAACTGAGAATTTGCAAATCGCATTCTTGATCTGAACGTCCATATGGAGCTTTGGCTATTTTCAGATTAATTCTGTTTTTATCAATTAAAAAGCTTTTTTATATGGTTTCTATATTTGTTTTTATTTTAATTTTAGCTCGAGCCTTACAACCAATAGCAGATGGTTGGTATCGTGTTCACAGTTACCCATATTGGTACAAATTATTCAAAGTATCGACAGACTATCAAACAGCCAGAAAAAATTGTGAATTGTTGGGTGGCCGATTAGCAGCGAAGGGTATACGGAACCCAGTTATTCATAGGTAATTTTCGTTTAGAGCAGTGTCTCAGTTCATGGGAGACGTATTTACTAGGTTCATCATTTTTTATAAAGATTAATTATATTTGCAATGGTTTCCAAAACCATTTATGCAAAACCGTTTGTTTCGTGGCATTTGGTTTTCCTTGAGTGCGCTGATGTTATATTGTCATAACACTAGCTTATTCAAGTACTTTTAATTGAATTCTTGTGCCACTATAAGTACATGAACATTCGATAACTTGGGTTGTGTAAAGTGCTCAGAGGTCTTAACTAACAACTCCTTAAAAAAAAACAAAGTGTGGTGTCATCTAGAGACGAACAGACATCAGTCTCCATTAGTGCTTTGCTTACCAGTATGTTCAGGACCCTGTTTTGAGCCGATTTTATTTTCCAACTAAAATAAACGCAGACAAGAAGATTTGTTAACGTTAACATTCAGTATAAAAATAATTGAATTGATTTTCCTGCATCGTGGAGAGGGTGTTACGTGTATGCAGAACGTGTTTCTTGTTCTGTTTCTTAAAACATCGCCAAAGTAGAAGCGCGAATGATATTTATAAATGGTGTAATAAAAAATTTAAAATAAAAGAATTATTTAATTTCGATGTCCGCCCCCAATATTTTTTTTTTTCGGAAATGATACATACACGGTCGAAACGGTTGGAGAACACTAATTAAGGTTTTAAATGTGTTTTGATCAACAAATATTTTAACACATCAGAAACACTTTGATGATCATACATTTCCATTGGAAGACGATAGTCATTCTATATCGAAGTATATAAGAATATCGAATCCCGTATGCCTCGGAAGACTTTTGAAAAATAATCGCCTCGTAATATTATTCCCTATCTTGAAGTATTTAAAAACTGAAAATATTGGTTGCGACGAATATTGAAACTGTTTTCACAACAAATAACACCGGAAGTCTAATTATCTTAAAGCCGGAATGTGTAATCTTGGCCTGAACTAATTTCTGGGCTGTGAACATGTAAAATTTTCATTCAATCGAAAATTGTGATCGTAATATTTAGAGCTATAAAGGGGTGTCGAATACATAATGACCTACTTTACCTTTCATTAAAAAATATTGTGTATTGTTTTATTAAAAGGCCAGTAGCCCAATTTAAATAGAAAACGCAATGAGCTTAATGTTTAATATTTTACATTTTTCCAACTTTTTTTAATTCAATTAATAATGGCTTAAATGAAACTTCATCACGTCCAAAACATAATTATATTTTAAGCGATCTTCTCGACAAGTTCATCAGAAGAACAGGAACTTCGATTTGGATAGGACTTGACGATCTTGAGGAACTAGATAACTGGATATGGTCGGACGGAGTTTCATCAACTTCCTCTAATACACCATGGAGTGAAGGAGAACCAGATAGCCAAAATGAACGATGTGCTTGCATGTTCGAGCCTCTGCAATATATGTTGATAGATACCCGTTGTTTTCTAAATCGATTCTACCTTTGTGAGAAGTAATCTCTTTTCTTTCTTCAACTTTAAAAGATTGCAACAATAATCAGAAATTATAGTCTGCAGCTTATCTACAACTCAGACTAAAGTCCAAGCTCTCAATATCCACATGAGCCCAACTCTTATTTTTTTCTTTCAAGTTTTCTTTTTTCTTTTAAATTCATGTTCCAGAATTTACCGGTTCAAAAATTTATTCCCATTTTTCCCATATTTAATCATTAGGTACTCTTGTTCTAAATATTTCTTTTTAAACGGTTAAATATTAAAATATACTGTTAGTTAAATGAATTTGTCTAAATTTGAAATACGCTACCATTTTAACCTTAAAAATGAAGACACCTTTTTGCATTAATTGATCTGTTGTATCTGAATAATGCCTGTAACGAACAAATATTAAATAATAGCCATATTGCTTTATCCAAGTAGCAGTGAATTCAAGAATGATATATATTATTTATTATTTAAAGATAATATTCATTGTAGACCTGTTTATTTTAAACATTGGAATGATATTTATATTTATCAGTAATATTAAGCAAAATGTAGTAAATGTGAAACACGAGACACTTATACCAGGACAATGGGTACTCTCGTAGTATGTGTACCACTTACGGTTAAGCCAAAGTTTTATTCCGATTTCCCCTATTTTAGTTCTATTACGAGTTTGGGAACTATCTGTGTTAGCCAAGTAAATATCCTCCTGCCCATAGGTTTCAGTGCCTTTACACAACTTGATGCAAAATAGGCCAAAAAAAGATTAGTTACCTTCATATTGTTACTCATACTTCTGGAGCGCAGGACAATGATTGTCTCGTAAAGTCGTAAGCATAATTTCGACTTTCAAAGTCAGACTGATTTGGCAACAGATCTGAAAAAGATAATAAATTTTTTCTCAAACCATTCAAGTGTAAACATCTTAATATCGAATTCTTTATAGCATTTTTAACATTCGTGCATCACCATTGCATATATACAATCATATCATTGACGTTAAGCAGTGACATTTTGAATTATTTAGAAGAAAATCTCATTTCAAAAAAGGGGGTCACGATCGTATATCGAAATGGAGGGCGTCTAGAAAGGGGCATTATGCTATGGCCCCCCTAGATAACAGTAAAGAATATTATGTCGTTACGTTTTGTAGTCTCATGATGTTTTCCAACAACTTTAATTTTCTTAAATTGCTTTCAAATTCAATTCATTATCTAATACGCTTACGTGAGTTTCTTTTAAATCTTTGAATTCATAAGAAAAAACGAGTTTTTGCACAAAATGTTACGCTTGGTTTGCAACACACGTCTCGCGTAGCATTATAAACCCCAAATTTATTGTCTATACGGCATCCCAAGAAGTCGTCTAATGAGGAGACCATTTAAATGGCGTTTGGGATCATATAATCATCAGTTGTCTAACTACGTATTAGTAAGACTTCGCCGCGTATAAAGCGGTTTATCTGCTTCGCTATGCATTATTAAGAATATAATTATTACATCTATAATCTATATTCTACAACAAAAACGATTGCTTGCATTTTGTTAAAAGAACACTAGGAGACGATAGCCAATGTAAAGTATCAAGCATAATTAAAAAAAAATAACAATACGTTATATCATCTTATCTTATCTACGTCTTATGTATGAAATATCAGACCAATCAAAGCAATTTATTAGCAGTGCGCCTCATTCTACGTCTTATGGTACAGTACCAGTATCCTATTCCCATTGCACCACGACCGTCGCAAAGGGAAAGGTGGTTTTTGAGTTGTGTTGTATGATTACGCTAGTGGTTTTATAAAAATGATCGATGGGGGCCGTGCGTACCAAATCCTAATTCAGTGGGCACTGGGCACGTATATTTTGAACTGCGCGTCTAATGTATATAAACTCCATTAGAGACTCTCCTGAAAATGTACTGTCAAAATATCAAGCCCTATGTCCGATAGCTTGGAAATGACAAGGTTCAATTGTATTAACCCTATCCTTGGAGATCTGTGAATTGTATAAAATTACACACGACTATGGTATAGTGAAGTAATCTCATAGAAGGTTGGCGAGGTGACAAAATGAATTGAACATCAATATCGTAATGAAAATAATCTACATGAAGATCAGAGTACTAAACCACAAGGTCAATCGATTGTATTTGGTGGTGATACTGCTGTGTCGAGAGTATTTTGTAATATTAACACGAATTGTGAAAGCTTTGGCTTATTCATTCTTTGACAATCAGTTCCTCATCACCCCATGGTTTAGTGTGAATATAATCAAATGGTGAATAATAAAGTGGAACTGGAGGTGAGAGGTCGATTTGTTACATAAATGATATTTATAACACGGGGTACTGTTTTAATCGCCCCTATGGTCGCCTATCACTTGTTAACGCGTAGCCCTTTATTTCTTTATTAACATTTTTTTTTCAATTTCATCGCGTTTTTTAAGGTGAGATTTGGTACATTAAAAGTTTAGCGCAATGGCCTTTAGGTTAGATTTCGCTATAACTATGTAAGCGACGAAATCTTGGGATCTCTGTTTTAAGTTTTTCAAAAATTAGAAACTTTCAACATCAAAGATAACATGCCGAGGTTTAGCTATCAGTTTGAGGACATGATGAACTTGGTCGCATTCAAAAAATAGTGGAAAAAATATTCAAATCGCTCAACTTCATCTCATTAGTGCCTCAGATATTGATATTAACTTCTCTATTTTTGACTATTACTCCAAAACTGTGCAAATCTCTGAGTTTCCGTTTTTGATATTCACAGGTATATAATGATTCCGTTTATTATCATTCATCAAAAAATTCTATAAGTCCAGAAAAACGCACTAATTAAGCTCAACAATTAATATCATTTGATATGATCGAACTCAGAATACATGATTTTATATTTAAAGAGGTTTTTGATAAAAATCGAGTTTACAATGAATATATAAATCCACAAAAAAGTCGAAAGCATAGTCTAGTGAATAAAAATACTAGTTACTCAATTTTTGAACAATGACAAGTCGTGGTAATATTTTAGCAAAGTGACTATAAATATTGTTTCTTTCTTTGTTAAGATAAATCCCATTGATCGAAAGCAACAAGGGAAATTTTCAATTACTTCTCACAGAGGTAGAAATATTTGTAAATACAAAGCACATCTGCTATCTGATATTCCAGATAATTGTGCATACAAGCACATCTTTGATCTGGACCATCTGGTTCGTCTTTGCCCCATGGTGTATTAGAAGAAGTTGATGAAACTCTATCCGACCATTTCCAGTTGTCTCGTTTCCCCAGATCGTCAAGTCCTATCCAGATCGGAGTTTCTGTTCTTCTGATGAACTTGTCGAGAAGATCGCTGGGAAATAATATTATTTTATGTTAAATTTGAACCAACAATATCATATAATTTGCAAATTTTGAAAAATACAAAAGTTTAACGTAATTCTTTTTAATCAAATGGATTTCCAGCACTTACTTGAAAGCTCAAGCTATTCATAGTTTTGTTTTCACCATCAAGTTTACATAAGGGAAAGTTAAAATCAAGGTATATAAGTTATTTTACTCCCATCGACGATACGATGTGAACAAACCATCTTTCCGACGGCATAGTTATATGCGGTCGTCAGAAAGTTTTTGCAACAGTTTTGCTGTTGTCTAAATGACAATACTATTATATTTGTAATATACAATGTTTAATTACCTGCGAATAGTTGGGTTGCGAATACCCTTTGCTGCTAATCGGCCTCCCATGCGTTCGCAATTATTTCTGGCTGAAAGTTCGACGATACTTTGACCAATTTGTACCAATATGGGTAACTGTGAACACGATACCAACCATCTGCTAAGGGTTGTAATTCTCGAGCTAAAATTAAAATGAAAACAAATATAGAATTATAAAAAAAGCTTTATAATTGCTTAAAATAGAATTTATCTAAAAATAGCTAAAGCTCCATATTGACGTTTAGATCAAAAGAGCGATTTGCAAATCCTCAGTTTTTGGCCATTTTTAACAAATCCGATACAATCAGTTAAAGTAAGGTTTTTAAATAAAACAATGTAATAAAGTATAATAAGAATATGAATTTGAGATAGTAACCTTTTTGTTGGAGAATTTGAACTGTGCGTGTCAAGTCATCATATCGTGAGCAATTACATGGTGTTCCACTGTTTCCTTTAGCTCCCTGACGTCCCGTGGCGCCATTTTGTCCTGTCGGTCCAATATCGCCTTTTGCACCTTCTGGACCTTTCTTGCCTGGCCGACATGTTGTTTGACATTGATAATCGTTTGGAACTAAAGAATAAATATTTGAGTTTACAAAAACCTTACACGTGAGGGTTGCATTTAGTAGAGTTGTATTTGTATTTCTAAATTATCGCTTACATTGACTTTCTTGTATTCATGAAATTATCATTTCCAATAAATTATTTATTACATGTCTGTAATTATTTATAAATAATCCAACATTTTACCATTTATTGCTGTTTCGCGAGCTTTTTCCATGATTAAGGATGCCATGTCCCAGGTGTCTAAAACTGAAAACATATACTCTCTCAAACCTCAATAATCTGAAAATCGTATAAAAAAATTGTAATAACGAAATATTGCATTAAATATAAAACCTATATTTTAGAATCAGATTTCCCGATTAGACATTGGTTCAATCTGGAAATTAATTAAAAAATCCTTTTTTTTTTTTTCAAATTTGTGATTGAAATTAGAACCATCGGCTTACCAATAAGACCTAATTCTATGCTGATATCTTGTAATTTCGTCTGTGAATTTGATAAACATAGAAAGGTGAAGCAAAATAGAAGAAATAGTAAGAGAGTTTACAAACAGATATATTTTCTTAAACTCACATGACGTTGGCGAGCACTTCTTTACTTTCTCTCTCTCAATTTCTTCTAGTTTCTGTTCAAGCGCTTTGATTCTGATATCGTATTGATCGATTTTCGTTGCAGTTACATTTTCAATGTTATTGGATAGACTTACATCGTTATCAGAATTCCCAGAGCCAGGTTCGATCTCTGGACCCATTGTGACAAAGCTAATATTGCCTCGATGTTCTTGAGCGCAACATTCAACAACACATAGAAACGTAAGAATGAAGAATGCTAACAAACTCATTTTGTAGTGAGAACCAGCACAAGAGTATCAATTCACGATAATGAAGGTATAACTAAGGTACCGCTTTTTATATAGTGATTTTTTTTGGCAACGATTCCCTTTTTTGTCAAATGTCGGGCGGCGGGATGGCCTAGTACAAGGGTCGGCAATCTACGGCCGCGACGCTTCACTGAATTATAGCAACAAAACGGCAGTTTTGACGATAAATTAATTTTATAACCCACGCTCGAGGAGTTGATTATATTCTTTACGTAACAAAAATTATTGTGAGACATGTGTAGAATAAATGATATTATAACCTAACAATTTAGTGAACAGCTACTCATATAACGAGCCTACAATTATTTATTTATAATTAGACAAATGGCAACACGCAGTAAATAATCGAATAGAACGCAATGGGGAAATAAAAGAGCCCAGTAATCATTACGCATACAATATATTTTTATTTGTTTTCATTTATATTTCCAAAGCTGTTATTCAAATGCATATATAAACAATCAATGCGTAATCAAGACGTAATCATAATTGAGAGATTTTAATAAAAATTGGGCCACCTTTTTGTGAAATTTTGCGTAGAATAATTAGATGCTTGATTCACATTCATGCTTAAGACGAGAAATAATTGAAATAAATAGTAATTAATTTTTGGCCCAACCAACCTTACGTATGAAATGAATCATATAGTTTAATCGGGGTTAAGAATCGGTGACATGATCATCATTGGATTTGTCACATATTCGCATAGACACAAAGGATCAAGCTCCAATATTATAATGAAAAGAATTGACATGAAGATCAGTGTTCTAAACAACATAGTCAACCATAGGTCAATCGGTTGTATTTGATGGTGAAACCTGTGCCAAGAGTTTATTATACTATTAACTTTAATTTATAAAAAGCTTTGGCATATTCAATCTTTTGCAATCCGTACGTTATTAACCCTTCGACCTCCCGATCTACTTTATCATTCACTGTTCCATTGTATTCGTGCTAACACAAAACCATAGGATGATGAGATACACGATTGTGTAAAGCGATTATGCATAGCCTTTAACAATCAAAGTTAATAGTACAAATTACTCTCGATACATGTTTCACCATCGAATACAATCTACTGACCTGTGGTTGATCATGTGGTTTCTTAGTACACTGATCTCCATGTCGATTCGTTTTAGTATTATATTGAGATTTGTTACTTTGTGTCACCTCATCAACCGTTATACAAATATATAATATAAACAGCGTTTGGTTTTAAGTATGTCACCGACTCTTAACCCTGATTAACCTGTCAAATTAGTGAAAATGAAATCGAATGTATAACTGGCGTGGTAAAACAACGATTTTTTCCAAACCAACTATTTGTTGTATCAAAGAAAACATTAAATTATAAGGGGAAAAACTTGAAACTTGGATATCATGTGGCATCGAGTAAAATTTTATAAATGCAGAAACCGGCTTAAATAATGGCTGATGAATATGAAACAAGAGAAGATAGTTACAAATGTATGATTTCACAATTAACTAACCTTGCAAATATTTAAAAATTAAGCACTCTCACAATTCTGGGTCATTCTCTGTTTAAATAAAAATGTGAATGTAGTATTTCAGACTTGTAGTTGGTAGCCCAAGAAGTTCTTTAAATGTACGGTATTTACGGTATCATACGTAATGATTGTAGTCTAACTCAGTGATTCCAAAAGTGGTCGATATCGCCCCCCGGTGGGCGGAAACGACACAGAAGGGGGCGCAAAAGCCGAAGGGGGCGATAGGGGGACGATTTCGCGAAACCTGTTTTTTGTTCGACGGCTGGCGCATCGTGCTCTTGATTACTGTACTCTGCGTGCGTTCGAAGGTTTGAATCCCATGGACGATAATCACACACGAGAGAATTGTTGGACTCCTCCCCACAGTAAGATAGTTTGCGTAGCCCAGGGGTCGGCAACCTACGGCCCGCGGGTCAGATCCGGCTCGGGGAGTGAAATAATCCGGCCCGCGACGCTTCATTGAATTATAGCGACAAAAAGGCGATTTTGACAATGAATGAATTTTACAATATAAGCTCGAAGAGTCGATTTTTTACGCAACAGAATTTATTGTAAAAGACGCTTAGACTAAATTATACTATAACCCAACAATTTAGTTAACAGCCACTCGTTTAACGAGCCTTCAATTTTGTTATAATTAGACAATGGCAACACGCAGATAAGTTGATACTGAGTGCAGAGGTTCAATAGCAGAAGTTGTATAAATTACTGTAGGGGGGCGATGGCCTAATTTATACCTTCATTATCGTAAATCCATACTCGTGTGATGGTTCTCACTACAAAATGGGTTTGTTAGCATTCTTCATTCTTACGTTTCTATGTGTTGTTGAATGTTGCGCTCAAGAACATCGAGGCAATGTTAGCATTGTCACAATGAGTCCAGAGGTCGAACCTGGCTCGGTAAATTCTGATAACAACGTAAGCATATGAAGTTTCCATTTGTCAAGTTTAGATCGAAACAGCTAGCGAGTCCAGCCGAGCGCTCGAAAACGTATGTTTTCACTCGTCTTAGGGTCCGAAATCTGTCACAAGCTACGAAAATTTGCTATGTATAATACAGAAAGATCGGACCAGGTGATATCGGATCACCAGGACAAAATGGTGCCACGGGACGTCAGGGAGCTAAAGGAGAAAGCGGTCATCATGGAATTAATTGCTCACCATATGATGAGTTGGCAAGCAAAGTTCAAATTCTCGAAGAAAAAAGTTACTATCTCAAATTCCTACTCCTAACCTACTTCATTACATACTTTTATTTATAAATCTAATACGTTAATTGTGTCTCACATGTTGCATTCGGTCAAAAATCGTTGTTCAGATTTAAACGTCAATATGACGCCTCTTGTAATTATTTGAAGCATCAAGCACTTTCATATGGTTCTACATTTACATTCTTTCTGTTCAAGACTTGCAACCCGTAGCAGATGGTTTGTATCGCGTTCACAGTTATCCATATTGGTACAAATTATTCAAAGTATCGTCAGACTATCAAACAGCTAGCAGGGGACACTGCGAACGCGTGGGAGGCCGATTAGCAGCGAATCGTATACGGAATCCAACTGTATTGACTAAACAAGGACTAAATTTACCTCTTATTGTGGAATGATTGTTTTTGTGACATTATAAAATTTTAAGTAATCTAACTTGAACTTGAAAACCCATTAAATTCAAAACTATGTGGCTAAGATACAATAAATAAAACTTTGATTTCAACCTCAACTATGATTTTAACCCTCACGATGAATACCTTTGAATCCCTTCCATTTTAAATAAGTAACGAAATGTTTGAAATCCAATCTCTTAGAGAATAAATAAGACGTCATTATTTGTATGTACTATTTTGCTACTTTGACATTTTGGGCTGATTTATTTCCAGCGATCTTCTCGACAAATTTATCAGAAGAACGGAGATTTCCATCTTGATAGGACTCGATGACCTTGAGGAACAAAACAACTGGAAATGGTCTGACGGAGTTTCATCAACTTCTTCTAATACACCATGGATGTGCATGCATCTTTGATATAAGTTGATAGGTATCCTTTGTTACGTAAATAGATGCTACCTTTGTGAAAAGTAATCACTTTTTTCTTACTTTCAAAGAATTGCAGCAATATTCAGGAAATTATAGTCTCTAGCCGCTAGCCTATCCACAACGCAGGCTGAATTCCAAGCCGTCAATACCCATGTATGGCTACTTCTATAAGCTCTTTAATTTTTTTTAAATGTATGTTCAAAAATTTAACTGGTTCAAAAAATCATACCAAAAATTTATTCCTATTTTTAATCATTAGTTGTTCTTGTTCCAAATATTCCCATTCAAAAGGTTAAATATTCAAATGAAAATGAATTTGTCTAAATTTGAAAAACTGTATCATTTTATTAACCTTTAAGTTTAAAACATTAAAGGGAGGAAATCATTTTGAATTAATTTACCTGTTTTACCCCAATAATGCCTGTAAAACAAACATTAATTATAACCCATATTACTTTAGCCGAGCAACAGTGAATCTAAGAATTATATATATTCTTTATTATTTGAAGATGATTTTCATTGTAGACCTGTTTATTTTAAAGAATGGAATGTTATTTATATTTATTTTAAATTATTACTAATGTTTTTAGCAGAATGTAATAAATGTGAAAAACGGAACACTTATGCCTGAAGAATAAGCGTTTCGTGGGAGTATATTTGAATTTTGGGACCTTCTGGAGTATGCGCACCAAGATGGCGCACAACCTGAACTCAGGTTGTGTACCAGGTTAGGGTTCAGGTTGTGCGAAATATTGGTGCACAGAGCTTGGTTGACAGAGCTGTATTCAATTTAGATAATTTAATTCTTTTCTCCAAACCAAGGACGTGAAACTTTTTTTTATCGCGGGTCATATAACTAACTTCAGACATCTTGCCGGGCCACACAAAAAATTAAGCGGGAAAGGCAAGTGAAGGGAATGAGGCTATTGCTTCGCCTTACAGTTGTAAAGGCACCAGAACTAAATTAGATAGTTTATTTGGACTTCCAGAAGTATGCGCACCAAGATGGCGTACAACCTAAACATAGTATGTGTGTACCGGTTAGGATTCAGGTTGAGCGACATCTTGGTGCGCATACTTCTGGAGCACCGTTTATTTTATTCCTACACAATTCGAGTGTCAGCATCGTAATAACACCGAGGTTATTTTAAGTCTTCACATTTTTGATGTTCATGCATCATCATTGCATGTATACTACAATCATGTCATTGACGTTTGGAAAGAAAATCTTAGTTTTAAAAAGGGATCACTAGCGTACCGAATTGGGAGGGCGTCCAGAGAAGGACATTATGGCCCCCTTAGTGACTAGTAACGAATATTATGGCGTCGTTTCGTCCCAAAGCGTTTTATAAAAGCATTGAGATTGTTAAATTGCTACTAAATTCAACCAGTTCACTTACATTGACAAAACTCAACAAGTTGATTGTGTTTCCAAAAACAAGGCTAAAAGCAAGTAGCAGTTTTGGTGTAGAATGCTACTATTATATAAAATGTTTGAATTCGAATATTGAAAAAAAAAATTCGTTTTGTGACCAAATGCTGCGACGTTTACTAAGTTACAAAGAATAATCTTTTTTAGACTGTTTTAACCGCATTATTGCAACTCTCACACAAAAAACAAAATAACATTCTTTTGTATTTCCGTATACCTTTAATGAACCAAAGCCCACCCTTAACCCTTTCCGTGCGGTGGGCACGTATACGTACCCACGACAAAACTCGCTAGTTTGCGGCGGGTACGTTGATGTACTCCACTGTTTTATTTAGCAATCGGTCGCAAACTGTTGGTCTAGTTTTTCCGGGTTTTAGTTTATTGATAAGAAGCCTTCTTCGAGATTAACATAAGCGACGGTAAATCTCGCTTTCGTTTACCATGGGAGTTTTATTTGCGGCGGAACGAGGGAGTGTTTTTGATTTATGCAAATTTCGGTGTTTTTTGGGTGGTAATAGAAGACATATTATCCCTTCCATCTACCAAAGTATTTTGAGTTAGATAACGAAATTGCTACAGTAATATTATGCTATTGTTTGCCAACCAAGAAGCGGTAACAGTAAAGGATTTAGCGAATATTTCTATTTTTTATCACGGCTTGAAGTTTCAACACCCAAGAAAAAAAATGTCTTTTTTCTATCCTGTTTGTGACTCAGACCACCCCTTTTGAAAAAAAAAAAAATTTTTCAATCGCCAATTGCAAGCTCTTTAAATAAGCTTTCCAACGAGCCGTCAGTGGGCAGCAGAGGATCATTACTTTTTCGTTAGTCGATCGATTAGTTGTGGGGGTACAAATGCATAAAGTCGGCGTAGCAAATACGATTATTTAATAAAAAATAAAAATCGCATGGAAAGGGTTAAAGAGAACGCAGTAAAATTACAAATAAATAATCGTGCTACACGTCGACAAACAGTAGGTCACAGGGGTGAATAAATACGACGATGCGCACTGACACCCTGCACACCGTCATCTCATATTGTAATCTCATAATGCCCTGGTGGGCAGACCGTTTGTAATAATCATTCATGTAGCGTATTGACCCCTCTCACCCATACTATATGTAAACCATTGTTTTTAATTGTGTTATTTTGATGAGTATGACAAGTAATATACAAGCAATTGAGGGCATTGTTAGGCTGATAATATTATCTCTGGCGGGGAAAAAAAGTCTAAAAGACAATTTAATTGTTTGTCCGTTGTGCATTACCAACTTTCATGACCTTTGACCGATGCTGCCAGCTACGTTTTTTGTGCTGGTTAGGGGGACACTCGTTGCGTAGCACGTTTCGTCAGGTTTATACTTGTGCGTTGCTTTGACTTGTTGTGTGTTAGCGTTTTTTCAACAGTCTTTTTCTCATTTATAGATTGAATACAGACTAGCTTGTATATCTGTTATGCATTTGAGCTGCTCTGTTACACAGTCACACAAATCAGACGGAGCTACTTCAAAAGTGATGGTACTGGCAGACTGGATTTTCTCATTCAGTCATTGCACTGGAATACACGGAGCAGGATTTGTCTGATATTTGGGAGATAAACTTCCCAGCGGAAGAGGATTACATACCTAAGAGCTATCTATGAAATGAAGTACTTTGCAAAGTAAGAGTAATCGAAATAAAATTGTATTGTATATTGTAATGAACTGCAAAAGAATGTAACTATATGGAGGGAGAAAGCAGCTATCAAGAAAGGAAATTTCACCCTTGATTAGGTACCAATCATGTTTTAATAAGAAGATTACAATTGAAAATTAGGAAAAGGAATGATCCCCCAAGTTGTTGGGACTCTGCATAAATGCCCTACTGGATGTGGAATTTGTTTAATAGATGATCGGGGCTGAAGCCTGGATATCATTTGGATGCATTCTCAGCACGGTAGACCAGAGGATGTCAAACTCGCACCCCTCGAACACTCAACAACAATTATGATATTTTTTATTTTTATTAAAAATGAAATTTTACATAAATTGATTTGTATAAATTGGAATAATAGTGGTATGCAAGAAAAAAAAGTGAATGGCATTGGAAATTTGAAGGTAGACTTAATTTTTTGAAGAAAGTTATGTCTCAAATTTACAATAAATTGGGATCTGGTCTTATTACACTGGCTTTAGTTGCAACAGCATTAATAAAAAAGAAACAATTTCTTTATTCAAATTTGAAAACAATAATATTTTTTGCTTAATTTAGAATTCCCAACATAAGTAGGTTCAAAATATATTGCAACAACATGAGAACACAATTCAACTTTCCCAACCAAGAATTCTTAGCAAGGGTACACTTTGTTTGAACTTCGCCACAGCTCTTTTTGTGATTGTATAATCACCATCTGAAATATATTGAGAAAAACATACATGATGAATAAGGTGCAATGCAAATTTTTGAATATATTACATATGTAGGACAGCGAACGAATCATGAATTGTATAAAATGGTGGTGATTTTGGGAATGAAAGTGATAGCTTTTACAGTCGCGATGAATTGATTTTGCTTTATCAAATATGACATACCTCAATCACCTCATTCTAAATTTTCTATTACTCATGCAATCACCTTTAGACTTATAAGGCTTGAATATGTTTCTGTTCTCTGGATTTTTGATGGCCCGGCTGACATTTGTTAGTTGGTGGCAATAAGTTCACCGAGACTGTTTTTCCTATTTCACAGTCAGATTTAAACTGCATCATTTTCTCTTTTCACTTTCAAATCTTATATGTTGGATGTACATGGAGTATGATTTCTGCTTTCACATTCGTACCTAAAAGTTATGTAATTTTTTATTTATTTATTCTTCTGCAAATAAAAATAATAGCTCGATTTGATGTTGCAAGTGACAATATTTAATAGTTGCCATTATACAGAAATTCAGCAAATTGATATGCTAAACCGTTTTTTTTTTCTCAAAACTACTGTGTCTTATTGTATTTCCCAGACTTTTTTTTATCTCATTCTAAAATTATATATGATGTTTCACAGGAATCTTTACCCTCTCTCCCCTTGTTGGACAATTTTTTCGAATGACTAATATTCTCTACCGTTACCTTTTTTTATTATTTCAATTTTTGATTCATTTCAAATGTTGGTGTCGCAGACTTATGATGACCCCTTCTGTTTCTTGCGATGAAAGCCACCTGCTTTTAAATTGCGACTAAATCCGTTTCTGTATTGTATAAGCTGTGCCTTGAATTTGTGTATTATTTCCTGCATGACGAAATGAACGAAGATAAAAAAAAATTAATCACTGAATTTTCCCGCCTTATGTTTTATTTCTCTCTCCCAAATGCTACCGTATATGAATATTTATATCACTCCCTGTTTTGTTGGTAATTTTTTGGAATGACTAAGTTTCTCTTTGTATCCATTGCTTTCTTTAATTGTAATTTTAACTTTTTACTCGTCTTAAATCTAAGTGTCGCTGACCTATGATGACCATTTCTGGTCCTTCGCGATTTCCTGTCAATTGCAATGAAATCTGTTACTGTAATGCATAATTTTTTATCTGTTGTGAACTTGTGTTGTGATTTCTGGCACGACGAAATAAACGTATTGTCTATTGTCATAGTTTTAAATGTAAATAATATATAGGTTCAGATTCTAATATATAAAATCAAAAAGGCAACGAACATTATATATGTTAAACAGTAATGTCATATCAGTGTTTGAAACTTTGTGTCATTTCACCTTGTATCGAAATATATACTATAATATATGATTGTTTAGAATCAACATGTTTTGTTATTTCATGATTGGAGTCTTTAGGCCCAATGCAATATTTGAAAAGTTTGTCATACTGTATTTTTTTGAGGTTTCCGATTACAACTTATATTCACCTTATGTAGTCAAGTCAGCAACAGCAAACAGACGTCTTTCAGCCTGTGATTTCGCTCCACAAATTTGCCATCAAGTTGCAATTTCTTCTAATTTAGGTATGGACTATCATTTTAAAGGGCTTATATTACAATAATTTTCATAATTCGGACAAGGTTTTATTTTCGGGGAAACGCGGTAGTAAGCAGTGGCATTGACACAACTTGAAGAACTGTATGGCAGGTACCGGCTTCAGTGCTACCAGGTACTGCAGTACTGGTAGCCGGACATCCTATCTAATATAGTCAGCATAGTATATATAGTACGGTACCGTATTTTATACCTTCGAAAAAGGTATTACGAGTTCCACCTGATCCAGTACACTCCAGGTGCAACAATGGCCCTCAACCAAGCAACAGCTCAAACTCGCGAATGAAAAGCGAAACCGCCGCGTCCCCCAAGAGTGAGGTAAAAACAGTGTCTGGCAGCAGCCGTCACGCTCCGATGGTTCGTATGAAAGTCCGTAATACGGTAGCTCAAAGAAACCGGCACGAAGATCAATCGAATGGTGATTGGGGCCTAATTTTTGTCGGTAGTTCCAACTATGTTCAAGTAAGATCATATTTTAACATAGCAATTTACCCGCCCCGCTACAAAACTATTATATTATAATGATAAAACTACTGCTTTTATTGGTCATAACAGATTGCGTAAATTAAAAATATTTAAGGAAAAATATCCGATGTAAAATATCAAGAATAAGCGTAAAATAATAACAATACGTTATATCATCTTGAAATGTTGGAGTAATTCCAATCAATAGGTCAATTCTTTATTAATTGAATACGGAAATTTCTGAATTCCTTTCAACATATTTGATTTGAACAGAAGTGAATCATATTATGCTGGTATATCTAATTAGTATAGGGTGTTTATTGTTGCTTCAAAGTTCGATCATCCAATTATGCTGATCCTCTTCACAATGACGTTATTCATTAGCCTTTTCCTGAATATAAAATCAAGTGTTAAAACATGGGAACATGGGGTGATTTTAAACAATGTTTTTTCCGTACAGAGCAGAATTGGAAGAACTGGTTTAATAACCACCCCAGGACGTTTTGTATACGGACGAAGTGGGAAAAGGAAGTAAGAAATTCGTGGGTCATTACGTGAAGCCAATAACCCTAGAGACCCACCCAATAACAAAAAGTAACTCTATACAAAATTGATCATCCAAATATATTATTAACAGTTCTATAGTTAAACTGCAGTACTCACAATTACAGCGCGCACAATCCAAGCCACAAGTCCCAAAACACCAAGGAAAGCGATTAAACAAATAAGATGAAATGTTAAATCTTTGGCTGTATTTCCAGATACTGTCAACTCGTAAGTAACATACCCAAAAAAGGAAGCGAAAAGAGTTGCTTTTTCATACGGCATTTTTTTTGTAATTGAAAATCGTAACTTAAATATTAAACCCTATACTGAAAAGTCCTGAATTATAAAAATTGTATTCGGTGATTTGGTAAATTTATAATGTGAATAATAGATATGTGTATATTAGGGATATATATTTCACACTTTCTAAAAGAAGGGAAAACAGCAGGCAGCCACTTGTAAACAAGAAGCTGGCTATTGCGAGTATTCATGTAATATTTATTTATCTATCCTTTAATTTCTGAAAGACTCCGACTTATCTATATAGATATTTATTTCAGCCATCTACAAGATCTCTCTAAACTAGGCTTCGTTACAGCTACTACTGGAAAGTAGAATTTTATGTGTGGGGCTATGTTATTGCCAACCTTTCACTAGCCCATCCATTCTTGAAATAATTTCAAAATGTTTTTGCACCTATGCAATAGCATTATGAGTTAACAAATAAGGTATGAAAAATATCAAATTGTAAATAATACCATTCAGTACAGTTTGCCCATTTAATCTGGAGATCGAACTTTTTAGTACTTCCTTGTTTATCTATAGAAAATGTGGGCGCTTCAGAACTATACGTACCCATGTGGAGGCAGTGAAGCAAAGTATTTTAGGGAAATATTCCTCAGTACCTGACCAGTGGTTTTCAATCTTTTTACTTCCGTAGCCCATTTTTATTGCACGGAAATTTTGTGGCCCATTTCCCTTTTCATGCAAGGGGAAAACTACTAGACAAGTAAAAAACTACTAGACAAGCAAAAAAACTTTCACTTCAATAATTAGATTGAAAATTACCTCTCAGTAACAAAAATAGTATTATCGTTCATTGCCACTACAATCAACATTTAAATATAGTTACACAAATGGAACCCAATTTTTCAACAACTCTAGCAATTTAAAAAAAGGTTTGTGGCGCATCTGAAAGTTTTGCTGTGGCCCAGCAGTGGGCTATGGCGCGCTGGCTGAGAACCATTGTACTAGATGAACAACTAATTTGTAGCTGTTTATCAAGAGACCAAATATATGATTGAAAAAATGGCTCGTAAAGAGAACAGTTCATCATGAATCTTGTCGACTAAAACTTGGCAAAAGTTTGTTAATTTGTGCTAATTCAAGTTCCATCCATTGATTGGATCACAATAATCTAAGACTTGTTGTTATAAAAGGAACGTTGTATTACTATGTAAGACATAAATCACTGTTCAAATATATGGGGGAAAAGGCCAAAACGACGTAGCATAGAATCTTTCACGGACCGGTAATCTGGCCATCAGATCGCTGAATTGCGACTTCAAAGTGAAACAACAGTAGACAACAATCTTTAACCATTGGACATTTCAAAGAAATTGATTCAGTAGTTAAAGAGAAAAAAGATTTCTAATATAAGGTCTATACCACATACCACATAAAACACTAATTGTAGGCTAAACAAGTCACTCATTTTTTTTTCTAGGTGGCAGTAGCAGTTAAATAAATACCTTGGTTTCAACGCTATGATTCATAAATATCTCACTTTACCCAGTGTAATAAAACTAGAGACAGCTTATTCAACTTTCATGCATTAGGTGATACAACGAACGCATTTTTGCTCTGATCACAGATATTTCCTCATGAACTCGCACCAACTTGTAACCTGTTATAAAACTTTTTGCCAGTTTAACGTTAAGATTAAACGTGTATTGTATACACATTAAACAATGTATTAAGATTTAATAAGTTATCTATTCAATGACAAAGATAACGTTAATTCAACTCAACAGTCTGGGTCAACAGCCTGGGTGTCATTTTGATTTCCCCATCAATATACCTGCGTAAATATTGTGTTATTAGAGATGGGTTTTGCAAACCTATGATAGATTGCAACATCACACGGCTGTTGCCAAGGTTACCTCTAAGGTGCGCAACTGCGCAATTGCGCAAGACCACCAGACCATTTTCGCAGTAGAATCTTGTTCTCGCGCACCTGTAACATTATGTTTTCAAAGCGTGGCTCGGGATACTTTTTAACGCCGCGCGAGAATGCCCGTTTCATGGTTCACGAGTATTTTCGCTACCACTGTTCATTGTGATGTCACACACGCGTATGTTACGTCTGCTGGCGGCGATGAAGTTGTATAGATTCCTGTAGGGGGGCGATGGTGCAAAAAAGTTTGGGAACCACTGGTCTGACAAATCATTTGTTCGCACTATACCGTTTTATCTTTCGTCACTCAAGTATCACATTAAAAGAACTGGATTAATATTTTGGAATGAAATTAACACATTGCAAGTCAGTGGCAATAATATTAGACGAAGGAATTTAGGAATACAGCAAGCTAAATAGTCTATAGGCCGGCCATCTCGGTCGGGACGTATTTGTCACCTTGAAAGATCATGAGGTGAAAGGGCGTCAATTACAGGAGGGCGCGTGGGATTTATACCAGGCATGTGTGATTTGCGATGCCAACACATCAACCCTAGGTTATCGCACAGCCCGACAATTGCCAGAAAACACACTCGTCGTCAAAAAAATGAAGCACCATATAGAAGCGTTGGTGCCTAATTCATACCTTCATTATCGTAAATCGATACTCGTGTGCTGGTTCTCACTACAAAATGAGTTTGTTAGAATTCTTCATTCTTACGTTCCTATGTGTTGTTGAATGTTGCGCTCAAGAACATCGAGGCAATGTTAGCATTGTCACAATGAGTCCAGAGGTCGAACCTGGCTCGGGAAATTCTGATAACAACGTAAGCATATGACGTTTCCAGCCTTTTTCTGATTTTCTGAATATAAAATCAAGTGTTAAAGCATGAGAACATGGGGTGATTTTAAACAATGTTTTCTCCGTACAGAGAAGAATTGGAAAAACTGGTTTTATATCCACCCCAAGACGTTTTGTATACGGATGAAGTGGGAAAAGGAAGTAAAAATTCGTGGGTCATTACGTGAAGCCTAGAGCCCCACCCAATAAAAAAAAGTAACTTTATGCAAAATTGACCATCCAAATATATTATTAACAGTTCTATAGTAAAACTGCAGTACTCACAATCACAGCGCGCACAATCCAAGCCACAAGTCCCAAAACACCAAGGAAAACGATTAAACAAATAAGATGAAATGTTAAATCTTTGGCTGTATTTCCAGATACTGTCAACTCGTAAGTAACACACCCAGAAAAGGAAACGAAAAGAATTGCTTTTTCATACGGCATTTTTCTTGTAATCGAAAATCGTAACATAATAAACCCTATACTGAAAAGTTCCGAATTATAAAATTTTTATTCGCTGATTCGGTAAATTCATAATGTGGATAATAGATACAAGTATATTGGGGATATATATTTCACATTTTCTAGAAGAAGGGGAAACAGCAGGCAGTCGCTTGTAAGTAAGGAGCTATTATTTATTTATCTATCCTTTCATTTCTGAATGACTCCGACTTATCTATAGACATTCATTTAAGCAACTAAGTCATCTACAAGGTCTCACTTAACTAGGCTTCGTTTCAGCTACTACTGGAGAATAGAATTTTAT